TAAGTCATTACGCACTACTTTCCCCTTTAATAAATTGCATTCAGAAAAAATCGACTGGAAATTATTTTTCCAAAACTGCAAACTGCACAATGAAGACAAGATAGGTCAAGCACCCTGCCAAAATCTGAAATTAAAAAATAAAAACCCCAAATAAAAGAACACAAATACTCACTCTACGAGCCATTGTATAATCGAGAGAAAAGACCCCGGCAACTGAAAATTTAAAACTCCTTAAGTAATTGTGCAAATTGTACCCCGTTAGTTTTTCTTTTTCAATGTTCGCTTCTATTTTCCTATAGACCACACCAATCTAAAACCACCATATTTTACCCTACACAACCACAAAACCAAACTCACTTGACGATACAGATCTTCAACGGGTTGTATAATCAACATTATTTCCCAGAAATTCAGCACCATCCAGCAGCAGCCCGAAACCACCAGAAAAATTCTCCCCACGGAACGATCCTCCAGTAAAACTAGGTGAACCATATCCAATGTCAACCAAATAAAACTTCGGAGGAAATTTCGGATTAAAGGAAAATGGTAAATCGCGTTTACTTTTCTGCAAATTCCTTCGAGCTCTGTCAGCTTCGAAATGGCGCGTTTTGGGTCGACAAAGTGTCCGAGATGTACATATCTGGTTTCGATTTCTTTAACGAAAAAAATGAATATCAAACGAGTAAATAAAACGCAAACCAAAGACATGTATATACTGAGCAAACAAAAATTCGACACACTGTATGAAGCATATGTTCGGTAAAAAACGCCCATTAAGATGTAGAGACCGATGTGGAGAAAGTTCAGAAGATAGTGCTTCTTCAGACTGTGGTTACACGGATATGCAAAGTTGACATTTTGGTCGAAGGTGTCAATTCTAGAAAACACTTTTATAATTTTGTGGCTTTGCAAGTTCAAGTGAATTAATAAAATTGCAAATATAAACGTATAGTCTAGGTTTATGAGAAAGCTGACCCCTAGGTATGTGTACATTTTGCCACAGTGTGAAAAAAATAACGTCTGTAGAGATACAATGGAAAATAAAATAGCGCCACTGAGGAACCTTAACTTGGGTTGCATGGTGTACTGTCTTGAGTTGGGGTCGAAAGATAGAGGCACCACCCCAGAACATTTCAGAAGTTGGTGAAAAATATGGAAAGAACTGTAAATGTCTTTATGGCGTGCTGGTTGCATTTGAAATAAAGTGCCACGATAATAATATTTGTGATTAATGGATTTGACCTCATTTTGTTGGTTACGCTCTATTTAATACGAAAAAATATTGACGGAACAAGGAACGACAAAAAAAATACACGTTGACATTTAATTTGTCGTAGTTTTTCAAATGCGTTAGATAATAATGAATGAAAAGTTTATTTTTCTTTATAACTATCCTTCAGCTTTCACACTAGTTATAAATGGGAATTAAATTATATAGAAGTGTATTATTGGTTGCCTACATACTAATTACTTGTGTGGATTCGTTTATTTTTGACAAATTCTCTGAAATTTTGAAATAAATTACTTGAAAACATCTAGGGTTCCTTCAAACTATACTAGACTCAATTTTTTGTTCCATCGGACGAATGGCCACTTTCATATTTTCTCGACGTTTCATGACCCCTAGAGTACGAAAAAAGTAGTTTTCTGTTTCCGTTTGTATGTCTGTATGCTGTCTGTATCGATTTTTATTTGACACGTAATCTCCAAAACTGCTGGACCGATTGCCGTAGAAGTCACTCCCGCTTTCACATCTTCGATAACTCTAATGGTTTTTCCAGAATCGTCCTTTGAAAAGTACAAATCAATGCAAAATACGACCAATTTTCGACCAATTTTCAACGAAATTTTCGAAATTTCACTAAATACATTTTTTGTAGATTTGGGGCCGTAGAAGTCACTCCCGCTTTCACATCTTCGATAACACCAATGGTTTTTCCAGAATCGTACTTTGAAAATTACAAATCTATGCAAAATACGACCAATTTCCGACCAATTTTTAACGAAATTTTCGAAATTTCACTAGATACATTTTCTTGTAGATTTCGGGACGTAGAAGTCACTCCCGCTTTCATTTCTTCGATAACTCTAATGGTTTTTCCAGAATCGTCCTTTGAAAAGTACAAATCTATGCAAAATACGACCAATTCTCGACCAATTTTCAACGAAATTTTCGAAATTTCATTAAATACATTTTCTTGTAGATTTGGGGCCGTAGAAGTCACTCCCGCTTTCATTTATTCGATAACTCCAATGGTTTTACCATAATCGTCCTTTGAAAAGTACAAATCTATGCAAAATACGACCAATTCTCGACCAATTTTCAACGAAATTTTCGAAATTTCACTATATACATTTTCTTGTAGATTTCGGATCGTAGAAGTCACTTCCGCTTTCATTTCTTCGACAACTCCAATGGTTTTTCCAGAATCGTACTTTGAAAAGTACAAATCTATGCAAAATACGACCAATTTTCCACCAATTTTCAACGAAATTTTCGAAATTTCACTAAATACATTTTCTTGTAGATTTAGAGCCGTAGAAATCATTCCCGCTTTCATTTATTCGATAACTCCAGTGGTTTTTCCAGAAACGCCCCTTGAAAATTACAAATCTATGCAAAGTACTTCAGGAGCGAGGGAAGTTCTGTCGACACACCCTTCAACTAATTTTTTTAAGATGTAAAACCTTAATTCTCGGGGGCGCCAAATGTCATTTATTTATGTGAAACCTTCTCGGGGGTCCCAACTGTCTCTTTTTTAATATAAAGATAGATTCTAGGGGTTTTAGACATTCTAGAGGTTCTGGAAATTGTGGAGATGCTAAAGATTCTGGATTCTAAAGATTCTAGGAGTTTTAAGGATTCTAAAGATTCTAAAGACAATTCTAGAGATTCTTGACATTTTGGAGATTCCAAGAAATCCAGCAGTTCCAAAAGTTTCTAGAGATTCTAGTGGTTTTCGAGACCTTATAGATTCTAGAGATTCTGGAAATTATAAGGTTTCTCAAGACTCCAAAAGAGTGGTTCCAGTAAATCTAGGGATTAAAGATTCTAAAGATACATTTTCGAAATCCGAAAAATTCTAGAAATTTTAAAGTTTCTAGAGGTTCTAGAGTTTTTAGAGATTCTAGAGGTTATGAAAGTTCTGGTGATTCTGCAGGTGTTAGTTAAAGACTCTGGAGATTCTAAATATTCCAAGCAATTCAAGGGTTTAGAGTTTAGCAGTTCCAGCAATTTTAGATATGCTAAAAATTCTAGGAATTCTAGACGTTTTGGAGATTGTAGATGTTCTGGAGATTCTCTAGGTACTAAAGATTCTGGAGATTCTAAAAGCTCCAAGAAATCCACAGCGGTTGCAGCAATTCTAGAGATTCTAAATATTCTAGAGGCTCTAGAGATTTTAAAGAATCTAGAAGCTCTGGGGAGTCTGCAAATACTAAAAATTCTGCAGGTTATAAAGATTCGAGGAATTCTAAAAATTCCAAAAATTCCAGAGATTCTAGAAATTCTACATGTTTCAAGGGTTCTAGAAATTTTCGAGATTCTGAAGATGTTAAAGATTCTCAAGAGTCTAAGAAATCCATAGTATATATTGTATTTTTTAAAAATGTAAAACTTTCTCTGGGACGCCAAACGTCTTTTTTTAATGTAAAGATTCTAGAGGTTTTAGACATTCTAGAGATTCTGGAAATTGTGGAGATGCTAAAGATTCTGGATTCTAAATATTCTAGGGGTTTTAAGGATTCTAGAGATTCTAATGATTCCAAAAATTCTAGAGATTCTTGAGATTTTGGAGATTTTTTAGATGTTAAAGATTCTAAAGATTCCAAGAAATCCAGCAGTTCCAAAAATTCCACAGATTCTAGTGGTTTTAGAGATCCTATAGGTTCTGGAAATTCTGTTGATTCTAATAAGGGTTCTAAAAACTTCAAAATATCCAAGTCGAGTGGTTCCAGTAATTCTAGAGATTACAAATCCTAAAGATTCGATAAATTTTAGAAATCCGAAAAATTTTAAAAATTTTAAAGTTTCTAGAGGTTCTAGAGATTTTAGAGTTCTAGAGATTATGAAAGTTCTGGTGATTCTGTAGGTGTTAGTTAAAGATTCTAGGAATTCTAGACCTTTTATGGATTGTAGAGATTATGGGGATTCTCTAGGCACTAAAGATTCTGGAGATTCTAAATATTCTAGAGATAGAAATTCTAGAAATTCCAAAAATTCTGGAGATTCTATAGATTATAGAGATTCTACAGATCCTAAAAGTTCCAAGAAATCCACAGCGGTTCCAACAATTCCAGAGATTCTAAAGATTCTAATGGCTCTAGAGATTTTAAAGAATCTAGAAGCTCTGGAAAGTCTGGAAATGCTAAAAATTCTGCAGATTATAAAGATTCGAGGAATTCTATAAATCCTACATGTTTTAAGGGTTCTAGACATTTTGGAAATTCTGATTCTAGAGGTTCTAGACATTCTAAAGAAAATTACTGAGAAGCAAAACATCCTGGAGTCCAATGACTCCAAGGATTCTAAAAATTCTTGAAATTTTCAAGTTTCTGAAGATCTTGAAGAATCTAAAAAGTCCAAAAAATCCAAAGTTTTAAAGTTTAAAGTTTAAAGAAGGAGAAATGTTCTCGGGGGCCCCAAGTGTCTTTTTTTTAATATTAAATCTTCTCGGGGCTCCCAACTGTCCTTTTTTTAGATTGTGAAACCCGGTGAAACCTTCTTTTTTCCATTACGCCGTGTCCTCTACCTTCTATATTGTTTTTATTCCGTAGAGGTTATCGTAAAAACCTAAAATCCCGCAAAATCAAATTTTATTATTTTTCAGAGAAGCAATATTTGTTGGGCTGTACTTCCGAAGCGAGGGAAGTTCTATCGAAACAACTTTCGATGATTGAAACGGTAGAAACTTTTACTCGTAGTTCAAAATTGTCGCGATTCAATTAAACTACTGTGCGACATCGTCAACATAACCCCACTTTTCGCCAAAAGATGCAAAATGTGCGAAAACACAATTAATCAGGGCTATAACCAAAAAAATGCCCAGTTCTGGGCATGCATCAACGACCACTTCACCTGTTGGACCCCGGACTTGAAACAACACATTTGCACCATTTGCAACTACACAACCCATTTCAAAGTGCTTTTCCAAACCCATGACCACTCAAACCCCAGGCTACACCCACCAGAACCGCTGAAGACTTACACTTGTGATAAATGTAACTTCCAAACTCACTCTATCTTGTTTCTCATGACACACAACCAAAGAAACAGCTGTAAAAGTGCAAATTCCAAGCAACGAACTATCACTGTGTATAAATGCAAACAGTGCTCTTTCACATCTCCATACACCCTGAAACAGAAGTACAACATCCAAAAACACGTCGAAAACGTCCACCGCGTACGTTTCGACGACACCAAATGGGAGAAATTAGATATGAGTATAAGAAAACAAACGTTTGAGTCGTGCGAGCTTTGTTCCTACACTTGTAAACCCGGATACTTGAGGCGCCACATCAACTCCAAACATTGCCCCGTGAACGTTGCATTGTTCAAGTGCTTCGAGTGCAAATATATGACGAAACGGAAATACAACCTCGATAGACACTTTCAAGCAAAACACAGCTCTTCAGACAACGTCAACTGGTTCAAATGTGAGTCGTGCGCGTTCAAAGGACGCACCCGGCAAGCTCTAAAGGAGCACGAAGTGACCCACGACACCTCCGACTCAATCCAGTGGATTGAATGTGATCAGTGTCCTTTCAAAACAAAATTGAAAAAACGCCTCCAAAAACACATTAACATCAAACACCCACACCCTGACTCGATCAAGTGGGTGAAATGTGAACTGTGCCCGTACAAAGCCAAGTATATGAACCTTCTCCGAAGCCACGTCGTCTGCAAACACGCTAACGCGAAGCCCCATTTCAAGTGCGATTTCTGCCCCTTTCGAGCGGTTCAACAGAAGTCGTTAACGCACCATATGAAAATTAAACATTTGAAGGAAAAACTACCGATTGGTGATAAATGGTTTCATTGTGAACACTGCCCGTTTAAAACCAAGTGGTGTACGAGTTTGAAGGGTCACGTCGTTTCGAATCATACAGACTTGAAGGACATCGAGTGGTTTTACTGTGACAAGTGCGAATATAAAGCGAAGAGGAAGAACGAGCTGAGGAAACATTTGAGGTTCCAACACACCGATCCGATTAATGTTGTTTGGATGCAGTGCGAACTGTGCGATTTTATTACTAAGAGGAAGTGTAATTTGGACGACCACGTTAAAGCTAAACATACGGAGAAAAAAGATTTGGAGATGTTGGTGTGCGAGTGGTGCGATTACTCGACGGCGTTCCGGTATGCGCTGAAGAAGCATATGAATAATAGACACTCAGGGGAAACACCAAGAAGCAAGGACTGTTAGAAATAAATTTATTTTTCGATTATTAACCGCACTATTAGAAATTTTGTGTAATACAAAACGTCTGAAATATTTGCATTAAAAAATATTTAAAGCTGTTGAGTGGTTTGTTTGAAGTATTATTTGCTTAGTTTGTTGGAATTGAGACTGCACGACTGTTTTCCACTGGTAAAATCGGCATTTCTTGATGATATTCGAAAGTGAGGTTATGTTCAGATGGACCAGTTAGCTAACTAAATAATAAAATAAGTGGTGAATAATCAAATTTTGTAATTACCCCGTAATTTTAATTTTACTGTTGGGTTTCCACAGTGAAAACTGCAGCAGAATTTTAATTTTTTATTTCGCATTTATTGCTTTAGGCAACCCGCAATATACAGTAAACATAACCTTGTTTTGTCATAAGGGGTCAAAAGTAACGCAATTCTCAGGAATGAGTGTGCTCGTTGGAATAAGACTGTACGTAGACCCTTGTCCCTTGTCGATTGTGTATTTAAATTCTTTTTCCACTGGTAATTCAGCATTTTTTGACGATTCGCGAAAGTGAGGTTATGTTCAAATGAACCCGTTGGGCAACTAAATAGTAAAATAAACGGTAAATATCTCAAATGTCGTAATTGCTACGTAATTTTAATTGTACTGTTGGCTTTTCTACAGTGAAAACTACACCAGAATTTTATTTTTTATTTCGCATTTATTGTTTTAGACAACCAGCAATACCTGGTAACAACTCCTGAATCCTTAGAACCTCTAGAATCTTCAGAAATTCCAAAATTTCTAGAACCTTTATAACATGTAGATTTTCTAGAATCTTTGAAATTTTTGGAATTTCTAAAATTCTCCGAATCTTTATAATCTACAGAATTTTTAGCATTTCCAGACTCTAGAGCTTCTAGATTCTTTAAAACCTCTAGAACCTTTAGAATCTTCAGAATCTTTAGGACCTAGAGAATCACCAGAACATCTACAATCTCTAAAACGTCTATAATTCCTACGATTTTTAGAACATCTAGAATCTTTAACTAACAGCTACAGAATCACCAGAATCTTCATAATCTCTAGAATCCTTAAAATCTCTAAAACTTGTAGAAACTTTAAAATTGCTAGATTTTTTCGGATTTGTAAAATTGTTCGAAGCTTTAGAATCTCTAATCCCTAGAATTACTGGAACCGCTTAAGTTAGAATTTCCAGAATCTTCAGTATCTCTAGAATCTCCCAAAACTTCTAGTAACTCTAAAACCACTAGAGTCTCTAGAATTTTTAGAATATCTATAATTTTTGGAACCGGTAAAGTCTAAAACTTTGGATTTCTTGGACTCTTTATAATCTTTAACATTTTCAGAATCTCGAAAATTTCAAGAATTTTTAGTCTCGAATTTTTGGAATTTTTAGAATTTTTCAATCCTTAGAATCTATTGAATCCTTAGAACCTCTAGAATCTTTAGAATCCAGAATCTTTTGCCTTTCCATAATTTTTTCTAGAATGCCTGGAACAAAATTTCTAGAACCCTTAAAAGATGTATAATTTCTAGAATCTCTGAAATTTCTAGAATTTCTCGAAATTTTAGAATCTGCAGAATCTTCAGCATCTCCAAAACCTATAGAATCCTTAAATCTCTAGAATTTTTAGATTCTCTAGAATTGCTGGAAGCGCTAGACTTTAAAACTTTTGATTTCTTTTTGGAATTGATGGAACTGCTAGACTCTAAACCCTTGATTTTATTGAAATTTTTAGAATCTCCAGAATCTTTAACGAACATCCTCAGAATCAGCAGAATTTTCATAATTTCTACAATCTGTAAAATCTCTAGAACTGCTTGAACCGTTGTGCATTTCTTGGAAATTTTAGGATCTGTAGAATCTCTAGAATTTCTCGAACCTTTAGAATCTCTAGAACATTTAGAATCATCAGAATTTTTACTACCTGGAGAATCCCCAGAACATCTACAACCTCTAAAACGTCTAGAATTCCTAGAATTTTTAGAATTGCTAAACTCTAAACCCTCGAATTCCTTGGAATGTTTAGAATCTCCAGAATCACCAGAATCTTCATAATCTCTAGAATCTCTAAAACCTCTATAAGCTCTAGAAAGTTTACAATTTCTAGAATGTTTCGGATTTCTAAAATTGTTTGTAGCTTTAGAATCTCAAATCGCTAGAATTACTGGAACCGCTTGAGTTGGATTTCTTGGAGCCTTTAGAACTATTAGAATTTCCAAAATCTTTAGCATCTCTAGAATCTCCCAGAACCTCTAGAAGCTCTAAAACCACTATAAACTCTAGAATTTTTGGGATCTAGAATTTCTGGAACCGGTACTCTCTAAAACTTTAGATTTCTTGGAATCTTTGGAATTTTTAACATCTTTTTTAGAATCTTTAGTGTCTCGAATTTTTGGAATTTTTAGAATTTCTTGAATCCTTCGAATCTCCTGGATCCTTAGAACTTCTAGAATCTTTAGAATCCATAATTTTCTTTACAATGTCTAGAACGTCTATAATCATCAGAATCTCCAAAATTTGTAGACCTTTAAAACATGTAGGATTGCTAGAATCTCTGAAATTTTTGGAATTTCTAGAATTCCTCGAATCTTTATAGTCTGCAGAGTTTTTAGCATTTCCAGACTTTTTAGAGCTTCTAGATTCTTTAAAACCTCTAGAGTCTCCAGGATCTTTAAAATCTCTAGAATTTCTGGAACGGCTGTGGATTTCTTGAATCTTTTAGGATCTTTAGAATTTTTAGAATCTCGAGAACGTTTAGAATTCCTAGAATTTTTAGAATATCTAGATTTGCTGGAACTGCCAAAGTCTAAACTTTTGAATTCCTTGGAATGTTTAGAATCTCCAGAATCTTTAACTAACATCTACAGAATCACCAGAATCTTCATAATGTCTAGAATTTCTAAAATATAATAGAATTTTTAGAATATTTAGAATTTCTGGAACCGGTATACTCTAAAACTTTAGATTTCTTGGACTCTTTAGAATTTTTAACATCTTCAGAATCTCGAAAATTTGAAGAATTTCTAGAATCTTTAGTCTCTCGAAAGAAACTCCTGAATCCTTAGAATCTCTGGAATCTTTACAATCTAGAACCTTTATAACATGTAGATTTTCTAGAATCTCTGAAATTTTTGGATTTTTTTACCATTTCCAGACTTTCCAGAGCTACTAGATTCTTTAAAACCTCTAGAGCCTCTGGAATCTTTAGAATCTCTAGAATTGCTGTAACCGCTGTGGATTTCTTAGAACTTTTAGGACCTGTAGAATCTCTAGAACATTTAGAATCTTCAGAATCTTTAGTACCTAGAGAATCTCTAAAATCTCTAGAACTTGTATAAACTTCAAAAATTTCTAGAATTTTTCGTATTTCTATAATTGTTCGAAAATTCATAATCTGCAGAATTTTTAAAATTAGTTGAATTGCTTGAGTTGGATTTCTTGAAGTCTTTAGAACCATTCGAATTTCCAGAATCTTTAGCATTTCCAGAATCTCCCAGAACCTCTAGAAGCTCTAAAACCACTAGAAACTCTAGAATTTTTGGAACCGGTAAACTCTAAAACTTTGGATTTTTTTTAATATTTGGGATTTTTAACATCTTTGGAATCTCGAAAATTTCCAGAATTCCTAGAATCTTTAGTGTCTAGAATTTTTGGAATTTTTAGAGTTTCTTGTATCCTTAGAATCTCCTGAATTCTTAGAACCTCTATAATCATCAGAATCTCCAAAATTTGTAAACCCTTAAAACATGTAGAATTTTTAGGATTTCTGGAATTTTTGGAATTTTTAGAATTCTCTGTGTCTTTATAATCTGCAGAATTTTTAGCATTTCCAGACTTTCCAGAGCTTCTAGATTCTTTAGAATCTCTAAAACTGTTGGAACCGCTATGGATTTCTTGGAACTTTTAGGATGTGTAGAATATCTAGAATCTTTAGAATATTTAGAATCCCCAGAACCTCTACAATTTCTAGGACGTCTAGAATTCCTAGAATTTTTAGAATATCTGGAATTGCTGGAGCAGTTAAACTCTATGGCCATGAATTCCTTGGAATGTTTAGAATTTCCAGAATCTTTAACACGTACAGAATCGCCATAATCTCTCGAATCTCTGAAGCCTCTAGAAACTTTAAAATTTCTCGAATTTTTCGGATTTCTAAATTTTATCGGATCTTTAGAATCTCTAATTCCTAGGACTACTGGAACAACTCGATTTGGATATTTTGGAGTCTTTAGAACTATTAGAATCTCCAGAACCTATAGGATCTCTAAAACCACTAGAATCTCTAGAATTTTTAGAATATCTAGAATTTCTGGAACTGGTTGGAATCTTTAAAATCTCCAAAATCTGAAGAATCTCTAGAATTTTTGGAATTCTAGAATTTCTAGAATCTTTAGAATCCAGAATCTTTTACCTCTCCATAATTTTCTCTAAAATGTCTAGAACCTCTAGAATCTTCAGAATCTCCAAAATTTCTAAAAACGTTAAAACATGTAGAATTTCTAGAATCTCTGAAATTTTTGGAATTTCTAGAATTCCTCGAGTCTTTATAATCTGCAGAATTTTTAGCATTTCCAGACTTTTCAGAGCTTCTAGATTCTTTAAAACTTCTAGAGTCTCTAGGATCTTTAGAATCTCTAGAATTTCTGAAACGGCTGTGGATTTTCTTTTAGGATCTCTAAAATTTTTAGAATCTCGAGAACGTTTAGAATCTCCAGAATCTTTAGCACCTAGAGAATCTCCAGAACCTCTTCAATCGCTAAAACCTCTAGAATTCTTAGAATTTTTAGAATATCTAGATTTGCTGGAACCGGTAAACTCTAAAATTTTGGATTTATTTGACTCTTCGGAATTTTTAACATCTTCAGAATCTCGAAAATTTCAAGTATTTCTAGAATCCTTCGAACCTCTAGAATCTTTAGTATCTCCAAAATTTCTAGAACCCTTAAAACATGTAGAATTTCTAGAATCTCTGGAATTTTTGGAATTTCTAGAATCTTTAGAATCTGCAGAATCTTCAGCATCTCCAAAAGCTATAGAATCCTTAAATCTCTAGAATTTTTAGAACATCTAGAATCTTTAACTACCATCTACTCATCTACAGAATCACCAGAATTTTCACAATTTCTAGAATCTCTGAAACATCTAGAACTTGTAGTAACTTTAAAATTTCTAGAACATAACCTGGTTTTGTCATAAGGGGTGAAAAGTAACACAATTCTCAGGAATAAGTGTGCTCGTTGGAATTAAACCTGTACCTTGTACGTAAACCCTTGTCGATTGTGTATTTAAATTCTTTTTCCACTGGTAATTCAGCATTTTTTGACGATTCGCGAAAGTGAGGTTATGTTCAGATGAATCCGTTGGTCAACCAAATAATAAAATAAACGGTAAATATATCAAATTTCGTGATTATTGCGTAATTTTAATTGTACTGTTGGGTTTTCCATAGTGAAAACTACACCAGAATTTTATTTTTTATTTCGCATTTATTGTTTTAGGCAACCAGCAATACATAATAAACATAACCTTGTTTTCTCAAAAAAAATAAATAAGTAAATAAAAGTAACACAATTCTCAAAAACGTATGTGTTAAACTTAAACAGCAAAAATAATCGTCATTCTGTCGACATTTTTCCACGTTAACTAACTGCCAATTCTAGCATTTAGCTTTGTCAGCCTCTCAATATCTCTACCATGTTTACACCCTATGTGTTTTTTCAGCGAGACCTTATGATTCGTCACAAAATTGCAAAGCCCACACCGCACCAACGTTTTCAGCTCATGGATGTTCGTTTTGTGATCGTTCAACAGTTTGCTTGTTCGCCCTTTATACTCGCACAATTCACATTGAAACCACTTAGCGTTCTCCGAGTGGTAAACCTTCACGTGGTTTTGCAACGTACTTTCGTAATTGGTTTTAAAAGAGCACTGCTCACACTTATACCCCTCACTCGTGTGCTTGGACCGCCGATGTACTTGAAAATACTTTTTGTTCTTGAACGACTTCTGGCATCGATCACATTTGTACAGTTTGGCTTTGGCACTTTGACTGGGGTGTTTATCGGCAATGTGGTGTCGCAACGACGATCTGACGCACATGTGTGAACATAAGCCGCAACGGACGAGCTTCGGGAGGATGATGTTCATGTTAAACTTGTCCCATTTGGATGCGTCGAAACATGTGGAGTGGATTTTTTCCACGTGTTGTCGCAGTTTGTGTAGTCGTTTTATCTGGAAAGGGCACTGTTTGCATCTGTACATTAGTATTGTTCGGTAGTTGAGGTTTATTGCTTTGGGTGCGCATTTTCGCTTGTGTACCAAGAAAAACACGATGGAGTGAGTTCGAAGGCCACATATGTCACAAAAGTAGTGCTTTAATGTTTGTGGTGGCTTCTGTTTTTCCTTTGAGTGGCTGTGTTCTTTGAAAAAGACTTTTAAATGAGTTGAGTACTTGCAGGTTGTACAGGTGTAAGGTTTCAAGTTTTGTGCACAAAAGGGAGGTTTTTTGTTACTGGGGGTCCGTAACTTTTTGTTTTTGTGGTCAGATATTTGTTTAGTCGTCTGTTTGGACATTTTCCTATTTTACACAAATACGAAAAGTGGGGTTACTTTACTAGGTATATTATGATTTTAAACGCTGGTGACTTGGTGAGGTTGGTACGAAAAAGCAAGTGACGAAATATGACAACGTGTGAGAAGTCTATTGGCTAAACAAATTTTGTTTAAAAATCAACACAAGTTTTATTAGTAGTATATTATTTCAAATATGTTTCACAGGTATAGATCGAGGAGTAAAACAAGTCGGTTATTTGAACTAGAAGACACTTATTTCTAGAAATTCCAAAAATTCCAGAGATTCTAGAAATTCTAGGTGTGTTAAACGTCCTAGGAATTTTGGAAATTCTAAAGATTCGAGAGGTTTTAGACATTTTAGAGATTCTGGAAATTGTGGAGATGATACAAATTCTGGATTCTAAAGATTCTAGGGGTTTGAAGGATTCTGGAGATTCTAAAGATTAAAAGAAATTCTAGAGATTCTTGAGATGTTGGAGATTCTAATAGTTCTAAAGACTCCAAAATATGCAAAGTTTTAGAATTTACCGATTTCAGAAATTCTAGATTTTCTAAAAATTCTATAGATTCTAGTGCTTTTTGAGCTTCTAGAGGTTCTGAAAGATTCTAGAGATGCTAAAGATTCTGAAAATTCTGATGATTCTAAAGACTCCAAGAAATCAAACTCAAGCGGTTCTAGTAATTTTAGGAATTAGAGATTCTGAAGCTTTGAAAATTTATAGAAATTATAAAAATTCTAAAAATTTTAAAATTACTACAAGTTCTAGAGATTTCAGAGGTTCCAGAGATTATGAAGATTCTGGTGATTCTATAGATTTTAAGAATTCCAAAGTTTTAGAGTCTAGCAGTTCCATCAATTATGGAGATCAGAGATTCTAAAGATTCAAGAAATTCTAGAGACTCTTGAGATATTGGAGATTCTGAAAATGATAAAGATTGTAAAGATTCCAAGAAATCCAGCAGTTCCAGAAATTGTAGCGATTCTAAAAATTCTAGAAATTCTAGTAGTTTTAGAGATTTTAAGGGTTCTAAAGACTCGAAAATATCCAAGTCGAGTGGTTCCAGTAATTCTAGAGATTAGAGATTCTAAAGACTCTAGAGGCTTTAGAGGTTTTAAATAATCTAGAAGCTCTGGAAAGTCTGGAAATGCTAAAATTCTGCAGACTATAATGGTGCTATAAAGATTCGAGGAATTCTAGAAATTCCAGAGATTCTAGAAATTCTACATGTTTTAAGGGTTCTACAAATTTTAGAGATTCTGAAGATTCTAGAGGTTCTAGACATTCTAGAAAAAATTATGGAGAGGCAAATGATTCTGGATTCTAAAGATTCTAGAGGGTCTAAGAATGCAGACGATTCTAAGGAATCAAGAAATTCGAAAGATTCCACAAATTCGAGGGACTAAAGCTTCTAGAAATTCTTGAAATTTTCGAGATTCTAAAGAATCCAAAAAATCCAAAGTTTTAGAGTTTACCGGTTTCAAAAATTCTAGAGATTCTAATAGTTTTAGAGCTTCTAGAGGTTCTGGAAGATTCTAGAGATGTTAAAGACTCTGGAAATTCTAATGATTCTAAAGACTCCAAGAAATTAAACTCAAGCGGTTCAAGTAATTCTAAGGATTAGAGATTCTGAAGCTTTGAAAAATTTTAGAAATTCGAAAAATTCTAGACATTTTAAAAATTTCTTTAGAGATTTTAGAGGCTCTAGATATTTCTGCAAATATTATTTAAAGATCGTGGAGATTCTAAAAATTCCAAAAAAATTAAGGGTTTAGAGTTTAGCGAGTCCAGCAATTCTAGAGATTCTAAAAAGTCAAGGAATTCTAAATATTCTAGAGATTCTGGAGGTTTTAGAGCTTTTGAAGATTCCAAAGATCCTAGAGATTTTAAGAAATCCAAGGTTTTAAAGTCTAGCAGTTCCATCAATTCTAAAGATTCTACAGATCCTGAAGTTCTAATAATTCCACAGTGGTTTGAGCAATAATCCTAGAGATTCTAAAGATTCTAGAGGCTCTAAGGTTTTAAAGAATCTAGAAGCTCTGGAAAGTCAGGAAATGCCAACAATTTTTGCAGATTATAAAGATTCGAGGAATTCTAGAAATTCCAAAAATTCCAGAGATTCTAGAAATTCTACATGTTTTAAGGGTTCTAGAAATTTTGGAGATTCTAAAGATTCTAGAGGCTCTAAGGTTTTAAAGAATCTAGAAGCTCTGGAAAGTCAGGAAATGCCAACAATTTTGCAAATTATAAAGATTCGAGGAATTCTAGAAACTCCAAAAATTCCAGAGATTCTAGACACTCTACATGTTTTAAAGGTTCCTGAAATTTTCGAGGTTCTAAAGATTCTAGAGCTTCTAGACATTCTAGAGAAAATTATAGAGAGGCAAAAAATTCTGGATTCTAAAGATTCTGGAAGTTCTAATGATTCAGGAGATACTAAGGATTCTAAAAATTCCAAAAATTCGTAATACTCTAACGTTCCTAGAAATTCTTGAAATTTTCGAGATTTTGAAGATGTCAAAGTTTCTACAAGTTCTAGAGATTTTAGAGATTCTAGAGATTATGAAGATTCTGGTGATTCTCTAGATGTTGGTAAAAGATTCTAGACATTCTAAAAATTCTACGTATTCTAGATGTTTTAGAGATGCTAACGATTCGAGAAATTATAGAAATTCCAAAAATTCTAGAGATTCTAAAGATTCTACAGACTTTAAAAGTTCCAAGAAATCCACAGCAGTTTCAGTAATTCTAGAGATTCTAGAGGCTCTAGAGGTTTTAAAGAATCTAGAAGATCTGAAAAGTCCAATGCTAAAAATTCTGCAGATTCTGGAAATTCGACATGTTATAAGGGTTGTAGAAATTTTGGAGATTCTGGAGATTCTAGACATTCTAGAGAAAATTATGAAGAAGCAAAAGATTCTGGATTCTAAAGATTCTAGAAGTTCTAAGGATTCAAGAAATTCTAAAAATTCCAAAAATTCGAGAGACTAAATATTCTAGAAATTCTTGAAATTTTCGTGATTCTGAGGATGTTAAAGATTCTAAAGAGTCCAAGAAATTAAGTAAATCTAGGGATTAGAGACCCTAAAGATTTGAACAATTTTAGAAATCCGAAAAATTCTAGAAATTTTAAAGTTTCTACAAGTTCTAGATATTTCAGAGATTCTAGAGATTATAAAAATTCTGGTGATTCTGTAGATGTTAGTTAACAATTTTAGATATTCTAAAAATTCTAGGAATTCTAGAGGTTTTAGAGATTATAGAGGTTCTGGGGATTCTCTAGGTACTAAAAATTCCGGAGATTCTAAGTGTTGTAAAAATTCTAAAGATTCGAGAAATCCAAAATTCGAGAGATTCTACAGACGCTAAAGATTCTGGAAATTCTAATGGTTCTAAAGATTCCAACAAATCCAATTCAAACGGTTCTAGTAATTCTATGGATTAGAGATCTTATAGATTTGAACAATTTTAGAAATCCGAAAAATTCTAGAAATTTTAGTTTCTACAAGCTCTAGAAATTTCAGAGATTCTAGAGATTATGAAAATTCTGGTGATTCTATAGATGTTAGTTAAAGATTATAGATGTTCTAAAAATTCTAGGAATTCTAGACGTTTTAGAGATTGTAGAAGTTCTGGGGATTCTCTAGGTACTAAAAATTCCGGAGATTCTAAATGTTTTAAAAATTCTAAAGATTCAAGAAATCTAAAATTCTAGATATTCTACAGATCCTAAAAGTTCCAAAAAATTCACAGCGGTTCCAACAATTCTAGAGATTCTAGAGGCTCTAGAGGTTTTAAAGAATCTAGAAGGTCTGGAAAGTCCGGAAATGCTAAAAATTCTGCAGATTTTAGAAATTCTGCATGTTTTAAGGGTTCTAGAAATTTTCGAAATTCTGGAGATTATAGACATTTTAGAGAAAATTATGGAGAGGCAAAAGATTCTGGATTCTAAAGATTCTAGAAGTTCTAAAGATTCAATAAATTCTAAAAATTCCAAAAATTCGAGAGACTAAAGATTCTAGAGATTCTTGAAATTTTCGTGATTCTGAGGATAAGGTTAAAGATTCTAAAGAGTCCAAGAAATTCAGTAAATCTAGGGATTAGAGATCCTAAAGATTCGAACAATTTTAGAAATCCGAAAAATTCTAGAAATTTTAAAGTTTCTACTAGTTCTAGATATTTCAGAGATTCTAGAGATTATGAAAATTCAGGTGATTCTGTAGATGTTAGTTAAAGATTTTAGATATTCTAAAAATTCTAGGAATTCTAGTCGTTTTAGAGATTGTAGAGGTTCTGGGGATTCTATAGATACTAAGGATTCCGGACATTCTAAATGTTCTAGAAATTCTAAAGATTCGAGAAATTCTAGAAGTTCCAAAAATCCTAAAAGTTCCAAGAAATTATCAGCGTTTCCAGCAATTCTAGAGATTCTAGAGGCTCTGGAGGTTTTAAAGAATCTAGATGGTCTGGAAAGTCCGGAAATGCTAAAAATTCTGCAGATTCTAGAAATTCTACTTGTTTTAAGTGTTCTAGAAATTTTGGAGATTCTGGAGATTCTAGACATTCTAGAGAAAATTATGAAGAGGCAAATGATTCTGGATTCTAAAGATTCTAGAAGTTCTAAGGATTCAAGAAATTCTAAAAATTCCAAAAATTCGAGAAACTAAATATTCTAGAAATTCTTGAAATTTTCGTGATTCTGAGGATGTTAAAGATTCTAAAGAGTCTAAAGAGTCCAAGAAATTCAGTAAATCTAGGGATTAGATATCCTAAAGATTCGAACAATTTTAGAAATCCGAAAAATTCTAGAAATTTTAAAGTTTCTACTAGTTCTAGATATTTCAGAGATTCTAGAGATTATAAAAATTCTGGTGATTCTGTAGATGTTAGTTAACAATTTTAGATATTCTAAAAATTCTAGGAATTCTAGAGGTTTTAGAGATTATAGAGGTTCTGGGGATTCTCTAGGTACTAAAAATTCCGGAGATTCTAAGTGTTGTAAAAATTCTAAAGATTCGAGAAATCCAAAATTCGAGAGATTCTACAGACGCTAAAGATTCTGGAAATTCTAATGGTTCTAAAGATTCCAATAAATCCAATTCAAACGGTTCTAGTAATTCTATGGATTAGAGATCTTATAGATTTGAACAATTTTAGAAATCCGAAAAATTCTAGAAATTTTAGTTTCTACAAGCTCTAGAAATTTCAGAGATTCTAGAGATTATGAAAATTCTGGTGATTCTATAGATGTTAGTTAAAGATTATAGATGTTCTAAAAATTCTAGGAATTCTAGACGTTTTAGAGATTGTAGAAGTTCTGGGGATTCTCTAGGTACTAAAAATTCCGGAGATTCTAAATGTTTTAAAAATTCTAAAGATTCAAGAAATCTAAAATTCTAGATATTCTACAGATCCTAAAAGTTCCAAAAAATTCACAGCGGTTCCAGCAATTCTAGAGATTCTAGAGGCTCTAGAGGTTTTAAAGAATCCAGAAGATCTGGAAAGTCCGGAAATGCTAAAAATTCTGCAGATTCTAGAAATTCTACATGTTTTAAGGGTTTTAGAAATTTTCGAAATTCTGGAGATTCTAGACATTTTAGAGAAAATTATGGAGAGGCAAAAGATTCTGGATTCTAAAGATTCTAGAAGTTCTAAAGATTCAATAAATTCTAAAAATTCCAAAAATTCGAGAGACTAAAGATTCTAGAAATTCTTGAAATTTTCGTGATTCTGAGGATAAGGTTAAAGATTCTAAAGAGTCCAAGAAATTCAGTAAATCTAGGGATTAGAGATCCTAAAGATTCGAACAATTTTAGAAATCCGAAAAATTCTAGAAATTATAAAAATTCAGGTGATTCTGTAGATGTTAGTTAAAGATTTTAGATATTCTAAAAATTCTAGGAATTCTAGTCGTTTTAGAGATTGTAGAGGTTCTGGGGATTCTATAGGTACTAAAGATTCCGCAGATTCTAAATGTTGTAGAAATTCTAAAGATTCGAGAAATTATAGAAATTCCAAAAATCCTAAAAGTTCCAAGAAATTAGCCGCGGTTCCAGCAATTCTAGAGATTCTAGAGGCTCTAGAGGTTTTAAAGAATCTAGAAGGTCTGAAAAGTCCAATGCTAAAAATTCTGCAGATTCTGGAAGTTCTACATGTTTTAAGGGTTCTAGAAATTTTGGAGATTCTGGAGATTCTAGACATTCTAGAGAAAATTATGGAGAGGCGAAAGATTCTGGATTCTAAAGATTCTAGAAGTTCTAAAGATTCAATAAATTCTAAAAATTGCAAAAATTCTAGAGGTTTTAGAAATTCCAAAGAGCCTAACGATTTTAAGAAATCAAAAGTTTTAAAGTCTAGCACTTCCAGCAATTCTAGAGATTCTAAAAATTCTAGAGATTTAAGGATTCTATAGGTTTTGGAGATGCTAAAGATTCTGCAGATTTTAAAACTTCGAGAAATTCTAGAAATTTCAGAGATTCTAGAAATTATACATGTCTTAAGGGTTCTAGAAGTATTGTTCTAGGCATTCTGGAAAAAATTATGGAGAGGCAAAAGATTCTGTATTCTAAAGATTTTAGAGACTCTAAGGATTCAAAAATTCTAAAAATTCCAAAAATTCGAGAGACTAAAAATTCTAGAAATTCTTGAAATTTTCGTGATTCTGAGGATGTTAAAGATTCTAAAGAGTCCAAGTAAATCTAGGGATTAGAAATTCTAAAGCTTCGAACAATTTTAGAAATCCGAAAAAGTCTAGAAATTTCAAAGTTTCTACAAGTTCTAGAGATTTTATTAGAGATATTGAAAATTCTAAAGATCGTAAGGATTTTAAGAAATCCAAAGTTTTAGAGTCTAGCAGTTCCATTAACTCTAGTGATTAGATATTCTAAAGATTCGAGAAATTCTAGGTAGAGGCATTGCTGGAACCGCTAGACTTTAAAACTTTGGATTTCTTAAAATCTTTAGGATCACTAGAATCTCCAAAGTCTCCAAAACCTCTAGAATCTCTAGAATTATTTATATAAACGATTACTTTGTAAATAGCAAAATTTAAGTATTAACCCAACATTACGCAATCATATGTACGTAATCCTGATTTCAAATTACTGTAATGAAATGAGGACCTTTCGACCAATGTCGCCGGAAGGACACTGTTTGAGACCAATAGAACCGTCCACTGCGTGCTTGGGCGTGTCCTCGCACCCAGCCAACTGTGCACTTTTCGTCCGATTATACTTGCTCGTTTATGGTTGTTTACTTATTGTGGTTTATTGCGTTGGTAGCAATGCAACCTTGTTGATAACCCGTTAATAACATACAACAACTGCAAATTAAAATAAATCAAAGTCACCAAATCACTTCTTATGGATCCTTGGGGCTTGACCGCAAACGAAAGTACAGTCGTCGAAACCAAATTTTCACGTCTGACCTTCGAAGACAATTTCATTCCAACAGTAAGCGACACCTTGCCGGATTCGCAGCAATATTTAGCAATATTAGGTAAAAAATTTCCACTTGATCCGATCCAACATAACCTCACTTTGCAGAAAAAAAACTCCACGACATAAAAAATGACCCCAATGTGCTGAAGCAACTGATCGAAAAGAGGGAAGCTTGCATGCAGAATTTACTCAACGGTGAGACGCACTTCGAGGAAAACAACGATCTAGATACCCCCGTGGGGAATTCTCAGCTCATTCGAACAATTCTCCCGCAGAAACAAGCCCTAAATAAAGGCGAAGTGGTGGAACTGATCAACTACGATCAATTAGAGACCAGTGATAGCGAGAAAGAGTCGGACACGAGCAGCAATAATGACATCAATTGACTTTTCAAAGAAAGCCATCGTTTTAGTAACAGGGGCTTCTCGAGGTAAGAAAAACCAAATTCACGGTCGCCAAAATTAAAAAAAAAAATTGTAGGTATCGGCCGCACAATCGCGCTTGAAATATCTCGAAACCTCAACCAAAACTCCATAATCGTTTTGTTAGCGCGCTCGGGAAACGACCTCGAACAAACCAAAACCCAAATCCAAGAAGTAGACAAGTCGCTGACGGTCATCACTCATTCCGTAGATTTAGCAACCGCTGATGTCAAAACCTACGAACTCATACTCGACAGCGTAACTACGTCGGTGGACACCGCAGGCATCGAGTTCGGGATCGTCTTCCACAATGCCGGCACGACAGGAGAAGTCAAGCAAACGACCGACTTGTGTAGCTTTCAGGAGTGGAGGAAACACTTCGACCTAAATTTGTTCTCAGCGGCGGCACTAAATTCCGTTTTCGTTCGCAAGATTCGCCCGATTGCCCCGCAGTTGGTCGTCGTCAACATAACCTCACTTTGCGGGAGGACGCCGTTCAAGAATTTAGCGATGTACGGCGCTTCCAAAGCCGCGAGGGAGATGCTCTTCAAGGTGCTGGCTTTGGAGGAGCCCAACGTTGTTGTTTTGAACTATTCCCCGGGGCCTGTCGATACCAGCATGTTTGATGGAATTATAGCGACCGCGCAGAGCGAGGAGGTCCAAAACAGCTTCCGCAAGGTGAAGGAGACCACGATTTTGACCCCAGAACAGACGGTGGGAAAGCTGTTGGGACTGCTGGAGAAAGGAGATTTCAAGTCTGGAGACACTGTTGACTATTTTGATAGGATTTAAAGAGAATGTATCTACTATTTTTTGGAGGCTCGGCTTACGTATAGGTGCACTGTTTATAAATATATATATATATATATATAATTTACACATGTAATAATCGATTAAAGCATCAGTCAAAGTTGCGTGTGGTTTCTTCAATCTGACGACCTTAGTTTCGAGCAAGCAAGGGTAAACATCCAAAGTTGCTGTTGACGTTCTCGCTGACGTTGCTTTTAAAGCTGAAAATTGTCATTTATAAGCTTAGTAACTTTAATGTTCAACCTTTTCCGTATTTAAAGGGTTTATACTACAAACATTTACCATTTTAGACATGTTTTCAGTTTCTTGTTGTCGAAATAAGTCTACACATATTAAGAAAAAAGGCAAAATGTAGCCCCGCCCACCCGCCCTGTCTCAATCGTGATGATTTTTTTATTCGGCGTGAACCAAGGGGGCGGAGCCTAACTGCAAAATCCTTATTTTCTTACAAAAATTTACCATTTTAAACATGTTTTAAGTTTCTAAGAATAACAAAATCGTCACAATTGAGATAGGGCGGGTGGGCGGGCTTACATTTTGCCATTTTGTTTTAGTTTCTGTGGACTTCTTTTCACAACATGAAAATTAAAACATTTTTAAAATGGGAAATTTGTATGACGAAATATCGATTTTGCAATTACTTTAAAGTTTCTAGAGGTTTTAGAGATTATGAAGATTCTGATAATTTTGTAGGTGTTTAAGATTCTGGAAATTCCAAGAAATTCTGTAGATGTTAGAGATTCTGGAGATTCTAAAAATTCCAATAAAGTCAAGGGTTTAGAGTTTAGCAGTTTCAGCAATTCTAGATATTCTAAAAATTCTAGGAATTCTACTGAAGATTCCGGAGATTCTAAATATTCTAGAGATTTTAAAGATTCGAGAAATTCTAGAGATTCTAAAGATTCTATAGATCCTAAAAATTCCAAGAAATCCACTGAAGATTCTAGAGGTTCTAGACATTCTCTAGAGAAAATTAAGCAAAAGTTTCTAGAAGTTCTAAGGATTCAAGAGATTCCAAGGACTCAAGAAATTCTAAAAATTGCAAAAATTCGAGAGACTCCAAGAAATCCAAAGTTTTAGAGTTTACCGGTTTCAGAAATTCTAGATATTCTAAAAATTCTAGAGATTCTAGTTGTTTTAGAGCGTCCAGAGGTTCTGGGAGATTCTAGAGATGCTAAAGATTCCGGAAATTGTAATGGTTCTAAAGACTTCAAGAAATCCAACTCAAGCGGTTCCAGTAATTCTAGGGATTAGGGATTCTAAACCTTTGAAAAATTTTAGAAATCCGAAAAATTCTAGAAATTTTTAATTTTCTACAAGTTCTAGAAATTCTAAAGATTCTAGAGATTTTACAGATCATAAAAGTTCCAAGAAATCCACAGCTGTTCCAGCAGTTCTAGAGATTGTAAAGATTCTAGACGCTCTAGAGGTTTTGAATAATCTAGAAGCTCTGGAAAGTCTGAAAATGCTAAAAATTCTAGAAATTCTACATGTTTTAAGGTTCTAGACATTTTAGAGAAAATTAGGCAAAAGATTCTAGAAGTTCTAAGGATTCAAGAGACTAAGGACTCAATAAATTCTAAAAATTGCAAAAATTCGAGAGACTAAAGATTCTAAAAATTCTTGGAATTTTCGAGATTCTGAAGATGTTAAAAATTCTAAAGAGTTCAAGAAATCCAAAGTTTTAGAGTTCACCGTTCCAGAAATTCTAGATATTTTAAAAATTCTAGAGATTCTAGTGGTTTTAGAGCTTCTAGAGGAAATTCTAGTGGTCCTAAAGACTCCGGTTCCAGTAATTCTAGGGATTCTAAAGCTTCGAAACATTTTAGAAATTTTAGAGTTTCTACAAGTTCTAGAGATGTAGAAACATGTTCTATGAACATTCTGGTGATTCTTTAGATGTTAGTTAAAGATTCTAAATATTCTAAAAATTCTAGGAATCCTAGACGTTTTAGAGGTTTTGGGGATTCTGTAGGTACTAAAGATTTTGGAGATTCTAAATGTTCTAGATGATGAGATTCTAAAAATTCGAGAAATTCTAGAAATTCCAAAAATTATAAAGATTCTAAAGAGTCTAGAGATTCTACAGATCCTAAAATTCCAAGAAATCCACAGTGGTTCCAGCAATTTTAGAGATTCTAAGATTCTAGAGGCTGTAGATGTTTTAATGAATCTAGAAGCTGTGGAAAGTCTGGAAATGCTAAAAATTCTGCAGATTATAAAAATCCGAGGAGTTCTAGAAATTTGGGAAATCCTGAAGATTCTAGAGGTTCTGAAGATTCTACAGATGTCTCTACAACTTCTAGAGATTTTAGAGATTATGAAGAGATTCTAAAAATTTCAAGAAATTCAACGGTTTAGAGTTTAGCCGTTCCAACAATTTTAAAAATTCCAAAAATTCTAGGGATTCTAAAGATTTTAGAGATTTTGGAGGTTTTAGAGATTTTGAAGTTTTGAAGATTTTAAAGATCCTAAGATTTTAAGAAATCCAAAGTTGTAGAGTCTAGCGTTCCATCAATTCTAAAGATTCGAGAAATTCCGAAAATTATAGAAATTCTAAAAATTCTAGAGGTTCTACAGATCCCAAAAGTTCCAAGAAATCCACAGCGGTTTCAACAATTCTATAGATTCTAAACATTATTAATAATAATAATGTTTATTAGTGCCTTAATTACAATACATCACTATTGTTTGTGCACATGTCAGTTTACAATTTGATCAATTGTAGACGCTCTAGAGCGTTTAAAGAATCTACAAGCTCTGGAAAGTCTGGAATTGCCAAAAATACTAGAAATTCTACATGTTTTAAGTGTTCTAGAAATTTAGGAGATTCTGAAGATTCTAGAGGTTCTAGACATTCTAGAGAAAATTAAGCAAAAGTTTCTAGAAGTTCTTAGGATTCGCGAGATTCCAAGGATTCAAGAAATTCTAAAAACTGCAACTAGAGAGACTAAATATTCTAGAAAGTCTTGGAATTTTCGAGATTCTGAAGATGTTAAAAATTCTAAAGAGTTCAAGAAATCCAAAGTTTTAGAGTTTACCGATCTATAAATTCTAGATATTTTAAAAATTCTAGAGATTCTAGTGGTTTTAGAGCTCCTAGAGGTTCTGGGAGATTCTAGAGATGCTAAAGATTCCGGAAATTCTAGTGGTTCTAAAGACTCCAAGAAATTCAATTCAAGTGGTTCCAGTAATTCTAGGGATTCTAAAGCTTCGAAACATTTTAGAAATCGGAAAAATTCTAGAAATTTTAAAGTTTCTACAAGTTCTAGAGATTTTAGAAGTTCTAGAGATTATGAAGATGCTGGTGATTCTGTAGATGTTGGTAAAAATTCTGGACATCCTAAAAGTTACAATAAATTCAAGGGTTTAGAGTTTAGCTGTTCCAGCAATTTTAGAAATTTCAAAAATTCTAGGGATTCTAATGATTCTAGAGATTCTGGAGGTTTTAGAGATTTTGTAGATTCCAAAGGTCCTAAGATTTTAAGAAATCCAAAGTTTAAGAGTCTAGCAGTTCTATCAATTCTAGAGATTCTAAACATTGTAGAGATTCTATAGATCACAAAAGTTCCAAGAAATCCACAGCGGTTTCACCAATTCCAGAGATTCTAAATATTCTAGACGCTCTAGAGGTTTTAAAGAATCTAATGCTCAAAATTCTTTTCGAGGAATTCTAGAAATTCCAAAAATTCCAGAGATTCTAGAAATTCTACATGTTTTAAAGGTTCCAGAAATTTTGGAGATCCTGAAGATTCAAGAGGTTCTAGATACTCAAGAAAAAATTATGGAGAGGGAAAAGATTCTGGAGATTCTAAGGATTCAAGAAATATCAAAAATTCCAAAAATTTGAGAGACTAAAGATTCTAAAAATTCTTGAAATTTTCGAGATTCTGAAGCTGTTACACATTCTAAAGAGTCCAAGAAATTCAAAATTTTCGAGTTTACCGTTCCAGAAATTCTAGAAATTCTAAAAATTCTAGAGGTGCTAGTGGTTTTAGAGCTTCTAGAGGTTCTGGAAAATTCTAGAGATGCTAAAGATTCCCGAAATTCTAATGGTTCTAAAGACTCCAATTCTCTAATTCTACGGATTAGAGATTCTAAAGCCTCGAAATATTTTAGAAATCTGAAAAATTCTAGAAATTTTAAAGTTTCTACAAGTTCTAGTGATTTTAGAGATTCTAGAGATTTATGAAGAGATTCCAATAAATTCAGGGGTTTAGAGTTTAGGGCTTACAGCAATTTTAGAGATGCTAACACTTCGAAAAATTCCATTTTGGAAATTCCAAAGATCCTAATGATTTTAAGACATCAAAAGTTTTAAAGTCTTTCAGCAATTCTAGAGATTCTAAAGATTCTAGAGACTTAGGGATTCTAGAGGTTGTACATGATTCGAGGAACTCTAGAAATTCCAAAAATTCTAAAGATTCTAGAAACTCTACATGTTTTAAGGATTCTAGAAATTTTGGAGGTTCTGAAAATTCTAGAGGCTCTACACATTCTAGAGAAAATTATGGAGAGGCAAAAGATTCTAGAAGTTCTAAGGATTCAGGAGACTCTAAGGATTCAAGATTCTGAAGATGTGAAAGATTCTAAAGAGTTCAAGAGATGCTCAAGATTCTGGAAATTAAAAATAAAAATCATCACAATTGAGATAGGGCGGGTGGGCGGGCTTACATTTTGCCCTTTTGTTTTAATATTTGTAGACTTCTTTTCACAACATGAAACTTAAAACATGTTTAAAATGGACAATTTGTATGTATAAGGAAATTGATTTTGCAATTAGGCTCCGCCCCATAATTGCGAAATTCATACTTCCTTGCAAAAATGACCCATTTTAAGCATGTTTTAAGTTTCTTATTGTGAAAAGATGGCTATGTATGTATATTAAGACAAAAATGCAAAATATATTCGATTCTGATGATTTTTTTTCGTTATAAGCCGAGGGGCGGAGCTTAATTGTAAAATCCTTATTTTTCCACTTAAAAAAGAAAATTAAAAGAGAAGCCCCACCCATCCGTCGTGATCGCAATCGTGATGAATTTTTCATTCGTTGTCAGAGCGAGGAGCGGAGGGTAATTGCAAAATCGATATTTCACTATACAAATTTAGCATTTTAAACATGCTTTAAGTTTCTTGTTGTGAAAAGATGACTACACATTTTAAGAAAAAAAGACAAAATGTAAGCCCCGCCCACCCGCCCTATCTCAATTGTGATGATTTTTTTTATCGTCGAGAACCAAAGGCGTGTTCAGTGACAGTGGGCGGAGCCTGTCAAAATGCTCGATAAATAAAAATATACAGTAGGATCTTCAATAACATTTATATCAATGTTGATTCAGGTGGTTTTATCTTTAATAATTGCAATGTTGGTTGCATACATCACAAAAAGATATTCTTTATTCAGTTATTTAAAACTATAGTCATAAACGAAAAATGATTCAATTATTTAACATACACCACTGATCACACTTGATGACTAAGTCTATGATACGTGTAGTTCTCGTTAGTCCTCGTCTGGCACCCACACAAGTGACACCGCCTCGACAACGCATTTGTCGGATGTCCGTTCTTAACATGATCCTGGAACTCCTGAGACAACTTCGTCTTAAAATCGCACATATTGCAATCCAGCCACCTGATGAACCCCATATCCTTATGCATCACCTTCCTATGTTTATTCAGCACAGTTTTCTGAGTAGTGGTAAAATCACACTTATCACACTGTATAACATCCAAGTGTTTGTGTTTAACGTGAATAGCTAACCCATTGGGGCGATTTGCCAAAAACGGACACTGCTTGCAAGCAAACCGTTTGGACGGTTCTACCTTCTTGTCTTGAACCTTGTTCACTTTGGCTTCGGAATCTTCAGGCGAGTAGTCTTTCGTGCACTTTTTGTAGGCGTGATTCGTGAAGACGACAATGGAATGAGAACGAAACTTGCACTTTCGACACAAGTGTTCAGTGGGAATGGGTGATATTGCTTGTATTTTGTGGTCATGGTTGTGGTAATAGACTTTGAATTGGGTGCGAAAACAACACTTTCGGCAGGTGTAGGGTTGTAGGATCTCTGACGCGCATTGGTAATGTTGTTGTAGGGTTTCTGTTGCCAAAGGTTCAAACATTGTTGTAAAGTGAGGTTATGTACAAATGGGAGCTACAAAGAAAAAATTGGTCATTAATTCGTTGGGTCTGTTTTAAGTCGAATTACCTTATTATTCGAAAAATATGTTAGTTTACTTGAGTGGTAATTAAATAACTTAACTAAACGCTTAATATTATTAGTGTGATGTATTAAGTGTTGCCTATCCGACTATTTCCATTTTCGTGGAAGTGGCAAAAGTTCCACAGCTGTCACAGCACCATACGTCACTTGTCAGTTGTCACATTATTTCACCAAAATCGACTTTCTCTTTTCTTACTTAGAACACGTGTTTGTGGTTAGAACCGACAATTAACTTAATGCAGTGCACCCCACGATAATGCCGAAACCACGCACTGGCAAGAAGCCCCCAGGTCGCTTCCACGCAAAACCGGCCCCCCGTAAAGAGTACCAGCACCAAAACCAGCTGCAAGAAAGCGACGTGGGTATCACCCAGTTCATAAGCCCCCTTGACGGGTTCTCCGCCGTGATCAAAGCCCGATTTTCCGACTTCCAAGTCAACGAAATCGACCCGAACGGCGACGTCGCTAAACTGACAAACCAACAAATACCCAAAGACTGCGAAGACACCAAACCCCAAGCGGAACCCCCTTCAGAGACTCCCTTGCCCCAAATCCCGCAAAACACATGGGACGACATTAAAACCATGCTTCAGTCGTCAGAACCCACTAAAGTCGAACTGGATGCCACCAACTTAGCCAAAGAGCAAAGAGCCGAGATTCACGAGGGTTTGAAGAAGGCCTTCGGGAGGAAAATCGTGGGGACTACAGTAACCGAAGGCGAGACCAAGAAGATGGTTTTTACGAAGTTCGACGGAAAGGGGGACAGGGGGTTCAACTGGCCGAAAGACAGGGGGGAATACGTGCACTTTCTGGTGTACAAAGAATCTCGAGACACGTTAGACGCGACTTTAAAAATCGCGAGTTGTTTAAGAATCCCGGCTTCAAGTTTCGCGTATGCGGGTGTTAAAGACAAAAGAGCGAAAACGACGCAGTGGTTTTCGGTGAAGAAAGTCGAACCGTGGAAGCTTATAATAAAAACTAAGTCTTTGTGGGGCGTCAAAATCGGCAATATCGCGTTCAAGGATAAGCCGTTGAAGCTCGGGGATCTCAAAGGGAACAAATTTAGGATAGCGTTGAGGAACGTGGCTGGGGATGACGGGTTGATTGAACAGGCGCTGCAGGGTCTCAAGGAGAAGGGGTTTATTAATTATTACGGGTTGCAGAGGTTCGGGAACGATAAAGAAGTGCCCACTTTTGCTATCGGGGTGCAGTTGCTTCTAGGCAATTGGAAAGAGGTTGTGTAGTGATGAGGTGTTGGTTTGTTTGTGAGTTTGTTGGTTTCAGGCTTGCGAGATTATCTTGAAACCGACGGAGTCCGATAGGGCCGATTTTCCGATCACGAAAGCCAAGAAAGTGTATGCGGAGACGGGAGACGCGTCTAAAGCGCTGGAGGAGTTTGATGACAACAGGAAGACAAGTATTGAGTATTTGTTGTTGTCGGGGTTGAGTAAGGGGCACGCGAATGACTATGTCAATGCCTTGTCAAGTGTAAGTATGCACTATTTTTGTCGTTATCTTAGCAAATACTAGTCCCGCCCACCCACCCTCTGTTTTCTTAGAAGGTTTATCATCTGCCAAAATCAATTTTATCTTAGCAAGTTTTCTTCTTGGTCACTCGTTTTTTTTGATGAAAAATGGAATTTGTGTTGATAAATAGTGTAATCTAAACAACAAATGTAAAACTAATCCCACCCACCCCCACTTTTAAATTTCATTGGCTTATTTACGTAATTAACACTCAATTCTTCAATTTTTAATTTTTTTTGGCCCTTCAGTTTTTCGATTTACAATTTTTCAAGTTTTTTAATTTTAGATCTTCCAGTTTCTCAATTTTCCAACTTTTAAAATTTTCAATTTTTGGTTTTGCAATTTTTCGATTTAAAATTTCTCGAGTTTTCAATTTTTGGATTTGTAATTTTTCGTTTCGGTTTTTTTAATTTTCTTTATTTTTACATTTCCTTTTTTCAATGTCCTGATTTTCAACTTTTTTTGTTTTAATGCGAAATTTTAGATTTTTCAGTTTCTCGATTTTTCATTTTTACCACTTTAGAATTTTTCCGGTTTTCAATTATTGTATTTTAAAACTTTCATTAATTCGATTTCTCAATTTTTCAATCATCTCATGCTACAGTTTTTCGACTTTGCAATTTTGACGATTCTTTAATTTTTCGGTTTTACAATTTTTGAGTTTTCCAATTTTTCGATTTGATTCTTTTTTTTCTTCTTTTCAATTTTTTGATTCACAAGTTTTTTTGATTTTTACTTTTTCAATGTTTCAATTTTTCGTTTCTTCAGTTCTTCGATACTCAGTTTTTCGATTTTCCATTTTTTCTATTTTGCAATTTCCCGTTTTTTCCAATTTTTTTCTTCGATTTTTGATTTTTTCATTTTTCAACTTAAAAGTAAAATGAAAACTTTGAAAAGTCTAAAAATTGGAAATCAAGAAGTTGAACAATTGAAGAAATGAAAAATTGAAAAACCCAAGGCTTAAAAATTGAGAAATTTAAAAAGTTGAATTTCATTGTCTTCTTTTATTTACTGTGAGCTTCAATTTCCCTATATTCAGTTTTCTGATTACGTACTCAATTTTTCCAAATTTCAGTGTTGGGATTTTACAGTTTTTCGATTCTTTAATTTTTCGATTCCTCAATTTTCCGATGTTTCAGTTTTACGATTTTTCAATTTTTCAAATCAATAAAATCCAAAATCTCCTTGTTTACCATTCCAAAAATTTTTGGCAGTTCTAAATTTTCGAATCTAGGATTTTTTGATGTTTCGATTTTTCAGTTTTTGGATTTTTCAATTTTCTCATTTTTTTGTGTTTCGATTTTCCGTTTTTTTCTGTTCTTCGTTATTTCCATATCTCAGTTTTTCGAATTTTTAACTTTTAGATTTTTCAGTTTTGATGTTTCGATTTTTTGATTATTCAGTTTCTGGATTTTTCGATTTATCTATCGATTTTTTTCAGTTTTAAATTATTCAATTCATCAATTTTTAGTTTTTCGATTTTGGGCTACACTTTCTGTGCAATTTTTCTTTCTTTTTTTGTTTCTTGAGGTTTTCGATTTGAAATTTTTCGTTCAGATCTTAATTTTTTCAATTCTACGTTTCTTCAATTTTTCGTTTTACGATTTTTCAATTTTTCATTTTTCGATTCAAAATTTCTGCAGTTTTCAATTTTTCAATGTTCCGATTTTATAATTTTTGTTTTTTTCAATTTCACTTTAGTAAATTTTTCGTGTCTTATGATTTGCAATTTTCCAGTTTTTCGTTTTATTTGTTTCTTCAATTCTACGATATGCAACGCTTCGAGTTTTCATTTAAAAATTTTTCAGTTTCTCGATTTTCCAGCTTTTGGATGTTTCAATTTTTTGATTTTGGAAATTTTTCGTTTTGCAATTTCATCAGTTTTGAAATTTTTGTTTCTCAATTTTTTCGATTTTTCAGTTTTTGACATGTCTCCAAATTTTCGATTTGCAAGTTTTCGTTTCGGTTTTTTATTTTCGATATGCTTTCAATTTTTTGGTTTTTCAACGTTCTGATTTTATAAATATTCTTTTTTTCAATAGGAAATTTGTCAATTTGGATTCTTTAATTAATTATTATTCGATTTGTAATTTTTCGGTATTCAACTTTTCGATTTTTTAATTTTTAGTTTCTTCAATTTTTAATTTGCAATTTTATAATTAGAATGATTTTTTCATTATTGCATTTTAAACCTTTTTCATGCATTTTTTTTGATTTTTAAGTTTCTGGATTTTTTGTTTTTCAGTGTTTCGATTTTTCGTTTCTTTAGTTCTTCGATTTGCAATTTTTCGTTTTTGCAGTTTTTTATTTTTCCATTTTTTCTGATTTTTTAGTTTTTAGATTTTGCGTTGCTTCTATTTTTCGACTTACAATTTTTCAATTTTTCCTCTCTACAATTTTTAGATTTTTCACATTTTCAATTTTTCAATGTTTCAGCAAAAAAAAAATTATTAAAACTGATATCGAAAAATTGTAAATCCAAGAATTGGAAATCGAAAAATTGAAAAAACGACAAATTGAAGAATGGAAAGATTAAAAATTGAGAAAATTAAAAATAGACAAAGTACGAAATATTGTAAAATCGAAAATCGAAAAATCAAAAATTGAATAAACGAAAAATTACAAAATCGAAGTAAATATTGAAAAAGCAAAGAAAATAAAGAAACTAAGAATTGTGATATAAATTCGAGAAAATCATAATACAAAAATCTGGAAAATGAAAAATAAAAAAGACTTGAAAATTGAGTGGGACCAAAAATTAAAAAATCGAAAAATTCAAGAAACGAAAAATTGAAAAATTTGGAAGTCCAAAAATTGAAAACTTAAAAAATTATTATATTATTATATTTTCTTAGAGGATATGTCATTTGCCAAAGTTAGTCTTATCTTAGCAAAAACTAGTTCCGTCCACGCCCTCTATTTTCTTAAAGTCTACGTCATTTTCCAAAATCAGCCTTATCTCGGCAAGTACTAGCCCCACCCACCCACCCTTTATTTTCTTAAAAGGTTTATCATTTGCCAAAATCAATTTTATCTTAGCAAGTTTTATTCTTGATCACTCATTTTATTGGATGAAAAATGGAATTTGTGTTGATAAAAAGTGGAATCTAAACAAAAAATTTAAAACTAATCACACCCACCTCCACTTTTGAATTTCATTGTCTTATTTTTGAAAAATTATAATTTTTTTCGATTTTTGTTTTCTGATAACCTCTTCAAAGTTATAACCAGGGGCGTAATTAACACTCCTGCAGCTTTTTTGACTTGAATTTTTCAATCCTTCAATTTTTCATTTTTTTGGTTCTTCAGTTTTTCAATTTTCCAACTTTTAAAATTTTCAATTTTTAGGTTTTGCAATTTTTCGATTTAAAGTTTCTCGAGTTTTCAATTTTTCGATTTGTAATTTTTAGTTTCGGTTTTTATTTTCTTTATTTTTACAACATTTCCTTTTTTCAATGTTCTGATTTTCAACAAGGTTTATCATTTGCCAAAGTCAATTTTATCTTAGCAAGTTTTCTTCTTGATCACTCATTTTATTGGATGAAAAAGGGAATTTGTGTTGATAAATAATGGAATCTAAACCAAAAATGTAAAGCTAATGCCACCTAAAAAAATTTTCAGTTTTTAGATTTTGCAATTTTTCGATTTAAGATTTCTCGAGTTACAATTTTTAATTTTTCAATTTTTCGATTTGTAATTTTTCGATTTGTAATTTTTCGTTTCGGTTTTTTATTTTCTTTATTTTTCCAACATTTCGATTTTTCAATATCCTGATTTTCAACATTTTTTTTTAATATGAAATTTTAGATTTTTCAGTTTCTCGATTTTTCCACCATTTTAGAATTATAGAATTTCTCCGTTTTTCAATTATTGTTTTTTAAAATCGAAAAATTGAAAAATCAAAAGAAAAACGAAAAAGTATAAGACGAAAACTTTAGTAAATCTGAAAATTTGAAATGAACAACTTGAAAAAACGACAAATTGAAAAATGGAAAGAATAAAAATTGAGAAACTTAAAAATAGAAAACGTGCGAAATATTGAAAATTAAAGAAATCGGAAAATCTAATAATGGGAAATCCAAAAACTGCAAAATTGAAAAGTTCAAGGATTGTAAAATTGAAAAATCAAAAATTGAATAAACGAAAAATTACAAAATCGAGGTAAACATTGCAAAACCAAAGAAACTGAAGAAACGATGATTGTGATATAAAATCGAAAATGAAAGATAAAAATCAAGGACTTAAAAAATTGAGGGGACGAAAAATTGAAAAATTTGGAAGTCCAGAAATTGAAAAATTGAAAAATTATGTTATATTTTCTTATAAGGTATGTTATTTGTCAAAATCAGTGTTATCGTAGAAAGTACTAGCCCCACCCACCCTCTATTTTTTTAGAAGATTTATCATTTGCCAAAGTCAATCTTATCTTGGCAAAAATACTAATCCCGCCCACCCGCCCTCTGTTTTCTTACAGTCTACGTCATTTGCCAAAATCAGTCTTATCTTAGCAAGTTTTCTTCTTGATCACTCATTTTTTTGGATGAAAAAGGAAATTTGTGTTGATAAATAGTGGAATCTAAACGAAAAATGTAAAACCAATCCCACCCACAAAAATTTTCAGTATTTAGGTTTTGCAATTTTTCGATTTAAGATTTCTCGAGTTTTCAGTTTTTAATTTTTCAATTTTTCGATTTGTAATTTTTCGTTTCGGTTTTTTTATTTTCTTTATTTTTACAACGTTTCGATTTTTCATTTTTACCATTTTAGAATGTCTCCGTTTTTCAATTCTTATATTTTAAAATCGAAAAATTGAAAAATCAACAATTTAAATTTTCGAATCAAAAAATGAAAAACTTCAAAATTAGAAAATTAGAAAATCAAAAGAAAAACGAAAAAGTATAAGACGAAAACTTTGGTAAATCTGAAAATTTGAAACGAATAACTTGAAAAAACGACAAATTGAAAAATGGAAAGATTAAAAATTGAGAAACTTAAAAATAGAAACACTGCGAAATATTGTAAAGTCGAAATATTGAAAATTAAAAAAATCGGAAAATCGAATAATTGAGAAATCCAAAACCTGCAAAATTGAAAAATTCAAGAATTGTAAAATCTAAAATTGAATAAACGAAAAATTACAAAATCGAAGTGAACATTGAAAAAACAAAGAAAATGAAGAAACGAAAAATTGAAAAAAACGATTATATTATAACATGTGCTAAAATCAGTCCTATCTTAGAAAATACTAGCCCCGCCCACCCACCCTCTATTTTCTTAGAAGATTTATCATTTGCCAAAATCAGTCTTATCTCAGCAAGTACTAGTCCCGCCCACCCGCCCTCTATTTTTTTACAGTCTACGTCTTTTCTTAGCAAGTTTTCTTCTTGATCACTAAGTTTTTTAGATGAAAAATGGAATTTGTGTTGATAAATAGTAGAATCTAAACAAAAAATTTAAAACTAATCCCACACACCTCCACTTTTGAATTTCATAGGCTTATTTTGTTTATTGTGAGATGAAGATTGAATTTTATTTTTTCAAGTGGTCAAAATGCTTAAAAACTTCAAATTAATTAATTAGTTAATTAATGAATTAATATTAGTAAATGCAAAATTTAAAAATTGAAAAATGAAAAAATTGGAAAATCGAGGAATTGAAAAATCAGAACGAAAATTGAAAAATTGAATAAACGAAAAATTAAAATCAAAAGAAACATTGAAAAAATAAAGGAAAAATTGTGATCTAAAATCGGGAAAATGAAAAATAAAAATGAAAAACTTAATAAATTCAGGAAACGAAAAATGGAAAAATCGAAAAATGAAAAATCCTAATAACGGAAAATTGCCATTCGAAAATTTGAAGAAACGAATAATTGAAAATTTGGAAGTCGAGAAATTGAAAATTTGAAAAATCAATCTAAATTTTCGAATCAAAAAATGAAAAACTTCAAAATTGTAAAATTGGTCAAAAGAAAAACGAGAAAGTATAAGACGAATACTTCGGAAAATCTGAAAATTTCAAATAAACAACTTGAAAAATTGGAAAAACCACAAATTGAAAAATGGAAAGATTAAAAATTGAGTAACTTAAAAATAGATAAGTGCGAAATATTGTAAAGTCGAAATATTGAAAATTACAGAAATCGGAAAATCGAATAATTGAGAAATCCAAAAACTCCAAAATTGAAAAATTTAAGAATTGTAAAACCGAAAATTGAAAAGTCAAAAAATAAACGAAAAATTACAAAATCGAAGTAAACATTGAAAAAGAAAGAAAATGAAGAAACGAAGAATTGTGATATAAAATCGAGAAAATGGTAATACAAAAATCTGGAAAATAAAAGATAAAAATCAAGGACAAAAAAAATGAGGGTACGAAAAATTGAAAAATCGAAAATTTCGAGAAACGAAAAATTGAAAAATTAAAAAATTATATCAAGAAATTGTAAAATCGAAAAACTGCAAGAACGAAAAATTGAAAAAATTGAAAAATCTAAGAATCGAGAAATTGAAAAATGAGCAGTTAAAATTTTTGGAGTCAAAAAATTAAAGTGAAAAATTGTAAAATTAAAAAATCAAAAGAAAAACGAAAAAGTATAAGACGGAAACTTTGGAAAATCTGAAATGAACAACGTAAAAAATTGAAAAAACGACAAATTTAAAAATGGAAAAGTTAAAAATTGAGAAACTTAAAAATATAAAAAGTGCGAAATTTTGTAAAATCGAAATACTGCAAATTAAAGAAATCGGAAAATCGCATAATTGACAAATCCAAAAACTGCAATATACAAAAATTGAATAAACGAAGAATTGTGATACGAAATCGAGAAAATGATAATAAAAAAATGGAAAATGAAAGATAAAAATCAAGGACTTAAAAAATTGAGGGGACGACAATTGAAAAATCGAGAAATTCAAGAAACGAAAAATTGAAAAATTCAAAGCTCGAAAAAAGCAAAAATTGCGATTTCAAAGACTTGTAAAATCGAAAAAGGAAAAACGAAAAATTGAAATATTAACCCGACCTCTATTTTCTTATAAGGTATGCCACTTGCCAAAACCAGTCTTTTCTTAGCAAATACTAGCCCCGCCCACCCACCGTCTATTTTCATAAAGATTTATCATCTGCCAAAATCAGTCTTATCTTAGCAAATATTAGTCCCGCCCACCTGCCCTCTATTTTCTTAAAGTCCACGTCATTTTCCAAAATCAGTCTTTTCTTAGCAAGTTTTCTTTTTGATGACTTATTTTATTGGAAATGGAGTTTGTGTTGATAAATATAGTGGAATTTAAACAAAAAATAAAATTGTGATCTAAAATCGAGAAAAGAAAAATTAAAAAATCGGGAAAATTAAAAATAAAAATCAAAAACTTGAGGAAACGAAAAATGGAAAAATGAAAATTGTAACATCGGAAAATTGCATTTCAAAAATTTGAAGAAACGAAAAATCGAAAATTGTGATCTCAAATTTTTTTTTCCCAAAAATTGGGAAATTGAAATAACCCTAAATTAATAATTGAAAAATGAAAGTGAAAATGTGTTTAACAAAAATTTATGTTAGTTACATTATTAGCGCATTTAAAATTAATAATAATTATGTAGTAGTTTTATTTTTCTTCAGATACCGAGAAACACAAGACTGCTTTACCTCCACTCGTTCCAAAGCTTGGTCTGGAATTGCGTAGTTTCCAAAAGAATAGAAAAATACGGCCTTGAGGTCGTGGAAGGTGATTTAGTGTACGCCGAAAATGAAGAACAAAATGGCGACGATAACGGTATATTTGTTAATTTGGTCGATTTTATAAATGATTTTTTTATATTTAGAGGACGGGGAAACCTCTGACCCCAAACGACCAAAAGTTAAAGCTCTCGCTTCAAACGAGTGCTCGAACTATACCATATATGATATAGTTTTGCCGCTGCCAGGGTTTGACGTCACTTATCCGAAACATCTGGAGGAGTTTTATAAAGAAACGCTCGAAAAATACGGTTTGACGCTTGAAATGACCCGCCAAAAAGTCAAGTAAGTATTTATAAAAAAAAAAAAAAAAAAAAACTAGAGTAAACACTGTTATGTAATAATAGGGAATATTCGTTGAGCGGTGCATACCGAAAGGTCATGGGCCAAGCCCAGAACCTCTCCTGGAAAATAATGCACTACAACGACCCCAATTACAACCTAATACGATCCGACTTTGAAGAACTGAAAGGGGAAAAGGAGCCAGTTGACGTCACAGGTGGGTTCAACCAATCACAACGTGGGCGTAACTTCGCTAACCAACCGTGTCGTCGATTTGTGTTGTAGGTGGAGCCTACAAAGCGCTAATCTTGGAATTCAATTTAGATTCAGCGTCGTACGCCACAATGGTGCTACGCGAGATTCTAAAAACCGACACTTCGGCTAGCGCCAACGCCCGCTTGAATAATTATCACTCAGAACGGGAAGAAAAAATTCGTACGAAAGAAATTCCAGACAATGAAAACGAAGAATTTTCCGAGAAAATCGGGCTACTGAGTGACGCGAAAAAGTACGAGGCTTTCAAAAATCTCGTCTTTGGTGAAGAAGATTCGACTTTGAAGAGAAAACACGAAGAGTCGGAAGGGGCTGTGGCTGCTAAAGTGGCGAAAACTGGAAAAAACGGGAGTTGAAAGATTAGGTTAGGTGCAATGTGATGAATACAATAAACGCTATCAGATTTATTGAAACAATAAGCGAAACATTGGAATACAATTGAACTCTAATTATTTGTTACAATACGAGAATTTTTGTAAAAACGAGGACTGTATTGCATGTGGTTATAAACCTAAGTATTATATGGCCTTAAGCAAAATACTTTTGTAGTTCACCCTTGTCATACAAGGCTTTGACGTCTGAACCCCCTCCTAGGCATTCTCCTTTAACGAAAACCCTAGGCACCTGAAACAAGCCACACTCACTAACCTTGGCCACTCCCCGCGCTCGTTCTTACCGTTTTGGCTCCGGTGATCTCCCCCAGGATCGCCTGGATCTCGTCGCAGTCGTCCCTCTGATCCAACTCAATCGCGGTAAACTTCTGCTTCAAGTTGTCAAACACCTCCTTGGCTAACCTACAATAGGGGCAATAGCTCTTGGAGAAGATGACAACCGTGTCGCTTTTGATCAAGTCCTTGACCAGTTGGGCTTTCGGCGCCGTCATGTCTATGGGTAGCTTGGAATTAAAAACGCCCATTACCTTGCTGAGCAGGATGGAAAAAGCAGCCGAGACTTGACAATATATCGTATTGAAAAAAGCGAATAAGCCCATCGTTAGGTGAGGGAGACAACACAAAGTTAAAGTTAGGGGACGCTGTATGTATGTAACTTACTGTTTGTTTTGACGTTAAAAATTAAATATGCACGTGCTCACAAAGGAAACCTTCGAAAATGTTGTTGAACTGAAAAATGTGACCTGCCGGGAGCTGGGAAAGTGTTTCGTCATGCGGATTTCCAGATTTCGATAACGAAGCGGCAGGAGGGGATTCAAGGTTAGGTCGGCGCGGGCTGTCAATTACGGCGTCCGGTCACTGCGCAGCGCTGTCTTTTTATTTTTATAAAGTGTTCAAAAATTACAAGATGGGTATATTTGTGTTATAAAATTTATAAAACGAGACGTCGCCGTCCGAGTTCAGAGCAAAAACATTTAAATTGTCTTCGTCAACATTGCTTGTATAATCTTCACTTGTACTAAAAACAATAATAATAATAATAAGTGTTATCAATTTTCTTACCACTTACCACACAATTAAATTAAAATTTTCTAAATTTTCGCGACAAGTCGGCATATTCACGTCAAAATCAGCCGCTTTTTTCAAACTATCCCTAGCTTGAAAAGTCTGTGGCGCATTTTGCCTCAATTTTTCCAAAACTTCAGTTGCTTGGTCAACATTTTCATCTATTTTTGCAACTTTTGTGGGAGGTCCATCTTCTTCCTCTACTTCTTCTGTCTGTCTTGAATTTTTTAACACAGGAGTCTTCAATTTACACCCATGCAAAGCTAGCTGTTTATACGCCAAGTATTTTTTCAAACATTTAATATTCTTGTACGCCTCCTCAATCCCCATAGGAACGTCGTTACAAACCAACTCCAACTTATTCTACAACTAACAGTTTTTGAAACATTCGAACACACACTAGGCAACATTACTATTTCCACGAGAAACAGCGCCTCTTCTGCGTTCAAGAATTTCCCGTCTTTGTTCTGGACCCCGAAATTGGCCAACGCGCCCACGATTTTGGTCACTTTTGCCTGGTTTTGGAGTGGTAGCCATTCAGCAACGCCTCGGGCAACCCTAATTGAATTAAATTCAATCCAAGTATGGCAAGATTGCAACAAACCTTCTGTCAACTCGGTTGTGCTTCAAATAGTCTTCTTTATCTTTGAAGAACTTGTCTTTGCGGCATTCCTCATCTTCGGTCAGTGGCGACAAAAACAACTTTGAACCAAATAATTCCAGTTTTTTCGTGATGGGGTTGTTGTGGTCGCTTATGTATTTTTCGGCTCTGTGTACAATTTTGTTTAGTTTGTGTATGGATATTTGTATTGTTGTACTCACAGTTGCCGGATTTCGGAAGTCATTTTTAGGTTATGTTTATGTTACCACGAGCGTATAATTAATGCGATGATTGACGTCTACTCTGCGATGTACCAAGTTTCTCATGACGAAACTTGCAAAATGGACCTTAAGTTGATTACTACAAAAATGTACCATTTTAAACCTATTTTGAGTTTTTTTATTAAGTCTACACAAATTAAGAAAAACAAAGCAAAATGTAGCCCCACCCACCCACCCTGTCTCAATTGTGGTGATTTTTTTATTCGTCGTGAGCCAAGAGGGCGGAGCTTAACTGCAAACTCCGTATTTCTCTACGAGAAATTAAAAACACGTTGTTGAGTATCGTGTTGTTCAAAGACTATTACGTATATTAAGAAAAAAATAAAGCCAAAGATTAGGTCCCACCCATACGAGCCCCGATCTCAATTCTCGGTTGTGATGAATTTTTCATTCGTTGTCAGATCGAGGGGCGGAGCCTAATTGCAAAATCCATATTTCCTTACAAAAGTTTACCATTTTAAATGTGTTTTAAGTTTCTACGAATAAAAAAAGTCAGCACAATTGAGAGTTTTAGAGATTCTAGAGATTATGAAGTTTCTGGTGATTCTGTAGGTGTTAAAGACTCTGGAGGTTATAAACATTCCAAGAAATTCAAGGGTTTAGAGTTTAGCAATTCCAGCAATTCTAGATATTCTAAAAATTCAAGGAATTCTTGACGTTTTAGAGATTGTAGAGGTTCTGGGGATTCTCTAGGTACTGAAGATTCTGGAGATTCTAGATATTCTAGAGATTTTAAAGATTCGAGAAGTTCTAGGAATTACAAAAATTCTAGAGATTCTACAGATCCTAAAAATTCCAAGAAATCCACAGCGGTTCCAGCAATTCTAGAGATGCTAAAGATTCTAGAGGTTTTAAAGAATCTAAAAGCTCTGGAAAGTCTGGAAATGCTAGAAGTTCTGTTGGTTATAGAAATTCGAGGAATCATAGAAACTCTACAAATTCTACTTGTTTTAAGGGTTTTAGAAATTTTTGAGATTCTGAAAATTCTAGAGAAAATTATGGGAAGGCAAAAGATTCTGGATTCTAAAGATCCAGGAGATTCTAAAGTTTTAGAGCTTCTAGAGGTTCTGGGAGGTTATAGAGATGCTAAATATTTCGGAAATTCAAATGCTTCTAAAGACTCCAAGAAATCCAACTCAAGCGGTTCTAGTAATTATAGGAATATTCTAAAGATTCTGGAGGTTTTAGAAATTTTGAAGATTCTAAAGATTTTAAGAAATCCAAAGTTTTAGAGTCTAGCTGTTTCATTAATTTTAGAGCTTAGAGATTCTAAAGATTCGAGAAATTCCAGAAATGCTAGAAATTCCAAAGATTCTAGTTAGAGATTTTACAGATCCTATAAGTTCCAAGAAATCCACAGCCATTCCAGCAATTTTAGAGATTCTAAAGATTCTAGATGCTCTAGAGGCTTTAAATAATCTAGAAGCTCTGGAAATGGTAGAAGTTCTATAGATTATAGAAATTCGAGGAATTCTAGAAATTCTTGAGATTCTAGAAATTCTACATGTTTTAAGGGTTCTAGAAATTTTGGAAAATACTGAAAATTCTAGAGAAAATTATGGAGAGGCAAAAGATTCTGGATTCTAGAGGTTCTAAAGATTCAGGAGATTCTAAGGATTCAACAAATTCTAAAAATTTCAAAAATTCGAGAGACTAATGATGCTAGAAATTCTTAAAATTTTCTAGATTCTGAAGATGTTAAAGATTCTAAAGAGTTCAAGAAATCCAAAATTTAAGAGTTTAATGGTTCTAAAGACCCCAAGAAATCCAACTCAAACGGTTCCAGTAATTCTAGAGATTAGAGATTCTAAAGCTTCGAAAAATTTTAGAAATCCGAAAGATTCTAGAAGTTTTAAAGTTTCTACAAGTTCTAGAAATTTTAGAGATTCTAGAGTTTATGAAGATTCTGGTGATTGTGTAGATTCCAATAAATTCAAGGGTTTAGAGTTTTGCAGTTCCAGCCATTTTAGAGATTTTAAAAATTCTAAAAATTCGAAAATTTCTAGGCAGTCTAAAGATTCTGGAGGTATTTGAGATTTTGAAGATTCTAAAAATCCTAGAGATTTTAAGAAATCCAAAGTTTTAGAGTTTAACAGTTCCATCAATTCTAGAAATTTTTAAGTTTCTAAAGGTTCTAGATGTTTTAGAGATACTAGAGATTATGATGATTCTAAACATTTCAAGCAATTCAAGGGTTTAGAGTTTAGAAGTTCCAGCAATTCTAGAGATTAGAGATTCTAAAGATTCGAGAAATTCCGAAAATTCTAAAAATTCTAAAGATTCTACAGATCATAAAAGTTCCAAGAAATCTACAGCGGTTCCAGCAGTTCTAGAGAACCTAAAGATTTTAGACGCTCTAGAGGTTTTAAAGAATCTAGAAGCTCTGGAAATTCTGGAAATGCTAAAACTTCTGCAGATTATAAAGATTCGAGGAATTCTAGAAATTCCAGAGATTGTAGAAATTCTAAGGATTCATATTTTAAGAGTTCTAGAAATTTTGAACATTCTGAAGATTCTAGAGGTTCTAGACATTATAGAGAAAATTATGGAGAGGCAAAACTTTCTGAATTCTGAAGATTCTAGAAGTTCTGAGGATTCAAGAAATTCTAAAAATTGCAAAAATTCGAGAGAATAAAAAAGATTCTAGAAATTCTTGGAATTTTCGATATTTTGAAGATATTAAAAATTCTAAAGAGTCCAAGAACTCTAAAGTTTTAGAGTATACCGATTCCTGAAATTCTAGATATTGTAGTAGTTTTAGAGCTTCTAGTATAGAAGTTCTGGGAGATTCTAGAAATGCTGAAGATTCTGAAAATTCTAATGGTTCCAAAGACTCTAATGATGCTAGAAATTCTAAAAATGTTCTTGATTCTGAAGATGTTAAAGATTCTAAAGAGTTCAAGAAATCCAAAGTAATAGAGTTTAATGGTCCTAAAGACTCCAAGAAATCCAACTCAAGTGGTTCCAGTAATTCTAGGTACTAGAGATTCTAAAGCTTCGAAAAATTTTAGAGATCCAAAAAATTCTAGAAATTTTAAAGTCTCTACAACTTCTAGAGATTTTAGAGATTCTAGAGATTATGGGGATTCTGGTGATTCTGTAGATGTTAGTTAAAGATTCTGGACATTCTAAACATTTCAAGCAATTCAAGGGTTTAGAGTTTAGAAGTTTCAGCAATTATAGAGATTAGAGATTCTAAAGATTCGAGAAATTCCGAAAATTCTAAAGATTCTAGAGATTCTACAGGTCATAAAAGTTCAAGAAATCCACAGCGGTTCCAGCAACTCTAGAGATTCTAAAGATTCTAGACGCTCTAGAGGCTTTGAAGAATCAAAAAGTCTGGAAATGCTAAAACTTCTGCAGATTATAAAGATTCGAGGAATTCTAGCAATTCCAAAAATTCTTAAAATTTTCTAGATTCCGAAAATGTTAAAAATTCTAAAGAGTCCAAGAAATCTAAAGTTTTAGAGTATACCGGTTCCAGAAATTCTAGATATTGTAGTAGTTTTAGAGCTTCTAGAGGTTCTGGGAGATTCTAGAAATGCTGAAGATTCTGAAAATTCTAATGGTTCTGAAGACTCCAAGAAATCTAACTCAAGCGGTTCCAGTAAATCTAGGGATTAGAGATTCTAAAGCTTTGAAAAATTTTAGAAATCCGAAAAATTCTATAAATTTTAAAGTTGCAAGTTCTAAAGATTTTAGAGATTCTAGAGATTATGAAGATTCTGGTGATTCTTTAGATGTTTAAAGATTCTAGAAATTCCAAAAATTTCCAGATTTCGATAACGAAGCGGGCAGGAGGGGACTCAAGGTTAGGTCGGCGCGGTCTGTCAATTACGGCGTCCGGTCACTGCCAGCGCTGTCTTTTTTATTTTTTTAATAAGTGTTTAAAAATTACAAGATGGGTATATTTGTGTTATAAAATTTATAAAACGAGACGTCGCCATCCGAGTTCAGAGCAAAAACATTTAAATTGTCTTCGTCAACATTGCTTGCATATTCTTCACTTGTACTAAATAATAATAATAATAATAATGATAATAATAGAAGTGTTATCCATTATCTTGTAACTTACCACACAATTAAATTAAAATTTTCAAATTTTTCGCGACAAGTCGGCATATTCACGTCAAAATCAGCCGCTTTTTTCAAACTATCCCTTGCTTGAAAAGTCTTTGGCGCATTTTGCCTCAATTTTTCCAAAACTTCAGTTGCTTGGTCTACATTTTCATCTATTTTTGCAACTTTTGTGGGAGGTCCATCTTGTTCCTCTACTTCTTCTGTCTGTCTTGAATTTTTTAACACAGGAGTCTTCAATTTACACCCATGCAAAGCCAGCTGTTTATACGCCAAATATTTCTTCAAGCACCTAATATTCTTGTACGCCTCCTCAATCCCCATAGGAACGTCGTTACAAACCAACTCCAACTTATTCTACAACCAACAGTTTTCACACATTCGAACACACACTAGGCAACATTACTATTTCCAAGAGAAACAGCGCCTCTTCTGCGTTCAAGAATTTCCCGTCTTTGTTCTGGACCCCGAAATTGGCCAACGCGCCCACGATTTTGGTCACTTTTGCCTGGTTTTGGAGTGGTAGCCATTCAGCAACGCCTCGGGCGACCCTAATTGAATAAAAAATTAATCCAAATATGGCAACATTGCAACAAACCTTCTGTCAACTCGGTTGTGCTTCAAATAGTCTTCTTTGTCTTTGAAGAACTTGTCTTTGCGGCATTCCTCATCTTCGGTCAGTGGGGACAAAAATAACTTTGAACCAAATAATTCCAGTTTTTTCGTGATGGGGTTGTTGTGGTCGCTTATGTATTTTTCGGCTCTATGTACAATTTTGTTTAGGTTGTGTATGGATATTTGTATTGTTGTACTCACAGTTGCCGGATTTCGGAAGTCATTTTTAGGTTATGTTTATGTTACCACGAGCGTATAATTAATGCGACGATTGACGTCTACTCTACGATGTACCAAGTTTCTCATGAGGAAATTTGCAAAATCAACCTTAAGTTGTTTACTACAAAAAATTACAATTTTAAACCTATTTTGGGTTTTTTATTAAGTCTACACATATTAAGAAAAACAAAGCAAAATGTAACCCCGCCCACCC